GACCTTTAGCTTTAGTGACCTCTTTTTGCTAAACACGCATTATCGAACATCAGCGTACGGCATAATGTGTGTATAGTTTGTATCAAAAGATTATATTTTTCGAAAGTAGCCAGTCAACAGTTCGTGTAATTCCACATTTTATTTTATTTTATTTTTAACCGACAAACGAAAAAAGGATTTCTTCGATTTCGAGATGTTCTTTCGATTTATATTTTTTTCGATACGATATTTTTTGTGTTTGTTACGCGATTACTCCGACATCTGTGAACCGATTTCGACAATTCTTTTTTTTTGTTGGAAACGGGATACTTCAGTCCCATTCAATTTGAAGGAAATATTCCACGTTTAACTACTTTTCTGCCCGCTGTGTCATGCCATACGCATAACTAACGTAATCGACATTTCATTTAGCGAAATCGAGCAATTAACACAATCTGGAATCAGCGAAACAAGATCTATATCCGCTATAAGCTATTTTTTATATCTTATTTAATTTCAGTTTTATTGAAAAAAAGTTTTGGTGCCAATATCTCGAAAGTTACTACAATTCAGATATGTTAGCTTTGATAAGGAGGCAGTTTTGCTACACAAACAACAAGCTATGTTAATATAGCATTTTTAATCGACTTCAAAAAGAGAAAGTTTTCAATTCGACTGTAGTTTTTGTTGTACATATGGTTTTTGTTGGAAAGAGGGTACCTCAGTATTGGTCAAATTTAAATTTGAATAAAATATTCCACCTCTAAGGGTGGCAAACTAGAAGATGAATCAGGTTTCGCGCACTTTCCTGTAACCGATTTCAATAAAACTTGGCAAATAGATGTAATTCCACGAACTTTTGAGGTCGATTTTTATAGTACTCTGTAATGAAATTATTCCTAACAGTGTTGAACATAATTCATTCTTAGTACATGTCATACTATAGGATTGATCTCTCATTAATATTTCAGAAGAAAACGCTAACGTTTGAGTACGAATTCCCCGAAAACTTTCACGTGAAAACAGGGCCATGACAGGCCATCTTAGTAATCGGTTTTCGCTCCTAATTAAGCATTCAAATAAGTTTAAGGTTTCTTGTTTTAATCGTTCAAGGTTGTCTAGCGAAAATTGCATGAGTAATAATAGAAGTTAACAGCAAAAAATGTATTCAAAGTACTTAGTAGAGGCAACCACAAAGTAAATTTGACTAACTAAAAATTCTGAACATTTGGTACAAATCAAAAGTGAATCTTAAGGTTAAATGACTTAAAAGGTTTGAACGTTCAACATTATTTTGATTTGACGCAGACTATTACGTAAACAATAAGCAATAAATTATTTATTTGGATTAGCCCAAGGTTGTAAAATGTAATGTGTTTTAAAGATATTTCAATTTTATGTAAAATTATTACTCAAGAGTGTTTCGATCAGTTTCTTGCAAGATATTAGTTGGTGGATGATTGACTAAGACGTTTACTTTGATCTTTTAAAAATATGTTAATAATTCACGCATTCAGAAATTAACATACATACTCACATATCTACTACTCTCCCATAGCATTCGTCTACCCCTGGGGTAGGCAAATGATATAGACCCCCACTTGGTACGCTCCTGACAAACCTCCTTCACCTCCTCCACTCCCATCAGACTTCATTCGTGCTCGTTTATTCTGGGTTCTTTTAACCCAGCCTTTTTAATGACGTCCCTAACCTGATAGAGATATGTACGCCGAGGTTTAAAGTGCCGTCAATCTCCACCAACATTCATTCTTTCTACATGACCAAACCATCGAAGCATCCCCTTTTCTATCCGTCTCCACATCATCTTTCATATCATAACGTTCTCATTTATTACACTGTTCGTCATTTGAATAAGAAAAAGGTAGATATTACACAAATTTATTTAAATAAAGATCACTGATTCGGACAAGGCCATTCGAGTATTTATGCATCAGCGTGAACAATAGGTTTTGGCGAATTTCATAATAATGTAGTTTCATCGACGTTTCTTGTTCATAGCCATCTCGTAATACAAGTATATAATTATAGCATATGATGCGTCAATGCTATTCATCAAGCAGACGCATTTTTGAAACACATTGCCAGTATGTACATAGTGCTTACTAAAAAAAGCACAGTTTATCACACACGGTATGTAGTATAAGTACGAAAACGAATCGAAATTATATCAGGGAGCTCTACGACAACCAGAACTAATTAGGACGTTCATTTCTCAAATCAACTGGGGATTGACTTCAGTACCTCATATATATTCACTGGGATATTATGGGATAACCTCTTTGTGAAAGGGTTCGTCCAGGGAAGTACTGCCACCTTACCTGTGCGTGAGCCTTTACAATATTTAGGTACTTTGAATTATTTCTTATTATCATCAATGAATTTTTTGTCACGATTGACCGCCCCTAAAATCTGGCTTACCTATGCCCGGGTCTACTGGGCCTTAGGGCAAATTCGCCACTGACTATCAGGCGCACGACTTATTTATCTCGTCATTTGATATTAAAAAAAAAATTATTGAAAGTATCGCCAATAATAAGCTATAAATTTTTTAACTTCTTTAGAGTACCTAAATAGGGTGTTTATTCTACTTCTTTTTGTTTATATGACAGTCGGTGACGGCATCGAATTGACTACACACATAATCTGTAGCATGGCGAACATGTAGGTTTTGGTGTGTACATTTATTCCAATGATTAGCTCTTTTACACATATAGACCTAGCTTCTGGAAGTCACTATTATGAGTATTTTTACTCATGGTTCTTCTCAACAGATTTAACCCGGCGGAATAAAATTAACAGTACTGAATAATTTCTATTTTAAGTAAATTCCGCTTAAATCTTTCATTGCATCATAAACTGTATGCCATATTTAGAGGGGGCGGAGTTAGTATATTTCGTTCTCGTTTTCAACAGCTGTAGTAAAAATGAGACTTATGATATCAAGCGACGCGGGTCTAACAAGTCGTGAGCCTGGTGGTACGCGACAAACTTATCCTTGACAGATGTAGTGCCACTCAGAGTTTTAAACGTAAAGTTCCGAGGAGTGTTGGTACTGCGCCCGTCACCCAGAGACAAATTGAAAGTCTTACGTGCCTGTAATTTCACCAGCACTCTTTACCCTTCAAAACCGAAAGTAATTATCACATTACCTACTGCTGACGGCTACTTATACTACTGATACAAATAAGGTACTTCCAGGAACAACTCTTTCACAAGGAGCTCTACTACTACTAATTAGAATGTTGTGCCCATCTGTTGAGATGTTGAGAGCTGTTTGTTGCGAGTCATCGTTAAACAAAATTAAGTTACAGGTAAATTTCATAAGTTCACTTGTAGGTAGAAAAGGCATAAGGGCAGTCTAGGTTTGTTTCAGTCTCGCAATCCTATTCAAGAACTGTATTTGGCAACACTTACAATTACTTCTCGACGATTAAATCTTTTTTATTTAATTTAATGTAGTTATTTAGTCGACACTTATTATTTCTGGAAGTGTTTAAATGGATATATTTAATTAGCATAATCCTGTAGATATAAAAAAGATGTAGGTACCTTAAAAGTGTGTGATTCATCTCTTACTTTGCCACCCATATATGTGGGATTATTTTACTGTACTGAGATACCCCCTTTTCACCAAAAAAAGAATCATCGAAATCCAATTACAAATGTCGGGGTAGGTAATCGCGTAACATACACACAAAAAATTCAGTCGAATTGAGAACCTCCTCCTTTTTTTGAAATCGGTTAAAAATGAATTAATATTTAAACTACAAACACATTCTCGATTTCTCAATTAAATGTGAAGCACCAATGGTAAAGACTCAGGGCTCATTGAAATCGAGCGCCACAGTCAGTTATGGCTAGGGCTTATGCTGAATGAAGTCCCTTTGCGTGCGCCACAACGGCCACAACAGCACAAACGACAGTACAAAAGTTATATTTTGTTGTTTGCTTTTTGTCAGTTTTGTTTATTATTTTTATTTTGTTTTGCTTGTCTGTTATCATCAATAATTTTGTGTGTAGGTGTGTGTGTGTGTGCGTGCGTGCGTGTGTGTGTGTGTGTGTGTGTGTGTGTGCGTGTGTCCGTGTCCGTCCGTGAGTGCGTGCGTGCGTGCGTGCGTGTGTGTGTTTGTTGTGCAACAAATGTCTATTCTATTTTTCTCTAAATTGTGAAATGGGTTACGTAGCTTATAATAAATTCTAAGTTACGATGTCTTTCTATGAATGCAAACGCAACACTAAGCATGTCACGGAATAGGCACTACCTAAGTGGAAAATTATTTTATTTTATCCAGTCACATAGTTGCAAGGCTTATTGCCCCGGTCGCTTGTTGCACTTCGCATAACATATTTCTTAATTTATACCTACTTATGATAAAAACCACATACTCGTACGTTGAATTCAATATTGCCGCTCCATGGAATGCAGGTCATTCGGAATCACCAATAGAAACTATTATAAAAATAAATTGTAATATAGGTTTTTTCCAGTGTCCGTCTCAATCATTCTGAAAACAACACTGAACCTTCACCTCAAATCTGTTGACCTCCAGTTCATTTTATCTAATTTAAGTGCAATTTAAGAAGCCAACCGAGTAAATTTATTGCAAAACTAGGTCTGTTTTCAATTTAACAAAATTTTAAGGAGTTTAGTCAAAATTTTATTACGCTACAATTTTGGTTAAGTCTACAGAATCGTGAAGTATAATCAAACTTTTCTAACAAGTTAAACTTTTTTTTACAATATCAAGTTGTAAGCTACACGCCAGTCCATAACAGTTGCAGTGCCACTCAGAGCTTTAAATTGCAAAGACCTGCAGTGCACTGCCACTGCGCCCTTCACCCTGAGACAAGTTGACAAGTCCCATGTGCCTGTAATTTCACCAGCACCCGTACCCTGGTTAACCGGAACACAGTAACCCTGACATTGCTGCTTGGAGGCAGAAATGGGTAAGGTGGCAGTACTACCCTGGACGAACTCTTTCACAAGGAGGTCTACTGCTACTAACCAGGCTACTAACTAACCAAATATATATTGTATATCCAATTGTGGTCAATTTGTACACGTTGCTCAGAAAATGATCTAAATGTATTCAATTTCAATAATTTCAAGGTGCAATGTTAAGTGCACCTTCAAATCTGGACTGTCATTGGACTCATTTTTAGCGAATATGAAGAAAAAGAAAGAAAACCGTTCAAATAATTTTGGCGTGTACTGTACGTAAGTTTCTAAAATTAAGTTATTTTTAGTACCTAGTGTGGTTATTACAGTCTTTTTTTAAATCAAAGCTGAGACATAGAACGTAGGCATTACACATACACAATATGGTAGTCACAAACTTCAGCATCTCGGCTTGTGGCGATCATGTTTTACCACACTTGCTTAAGCTGTCTGATCGGGCTCGGGTTGAGACCATCTCGGGAAATTCGCAAAAAGCAAATTCGTTGGCAATGCAAAACATGCAGATGCGAAACACAAAACGCCTTTGTCGCTCTTATTATGAGCTTACAGTTTTTTTCTCACCAGTTCATTGTATGTTCTAAGAACCGGTTTCATGCAATTTCGTGGCGATATGTTTGGTAACTATCTATTATGTATTCTATATATACATCAGAACGTAGACTCCCTATTCGTAATATTCGAATGTATGTATAATATATGATATAGATATATAAATGTATATATGACAAGACAATAGATAAAGAACAGCTCCTGCTATTATATCTACAGCAGATAAGTGTAAATTTAATTCAGCGTCAATGTTACTCTGTGGACCAGAACAGGCGGCCTCCGAAACGTGGAGGAGGGCGGGGCTTGCAATCAGGCAGTGACGGCGTGTTATCGGTAATCTTAGGGTGGCAGGGGCATGGCGGTTCCGGAGGGTCCTTCAAGCACCCGACCGTGTGAATTCGCCCACGAGTAAAGTACCCAAAACCGGGATATGGCAAGCACAACTTTTCCTCAGCGCATTCTTTCCACACCGCCATCGTTTTCCGGCAAAACCATGGCTGGTATGAGCTGGAACTTTTGTCAACACAGTGAGCGAACTGCTTGAACTCCTGATAGCATACAGATTTTACTCTTTGGAAAAATTCCATGGTGCACCTGGTTACTTGCTTGCCAAGATCAACGCAGGGACGTGGGTCGTTGTTTTCGAACCGACACAGCATGAACTCGTTGTTGATGCTTTCGCATAGCTTGCCTAACCATGGCCCCGCCGACATCAGTGTCGCTTGGGAAAGATTCACCTCCTCCACCTCCAACTCATCGTCCATCGGCAAATCCACTTCTTCAGTCAATACCATTTTGTTTACTATCGCTACAATATCAAAGTAAGACAAATACTAATGTAAAATAATAATGAAAAGTTAAGTCGTTAACATTCACCTTAAAAATTCAATATTGCCAATATTGGTATAATTTTTCTCAGTTGACACCTCAGCTTGACATGTACTTAAAATATTGACATTAATCATAAGAGGATAGAAAAATTTAAGGGACATTTATTGGACATAAAACCAAAAAGTACAATACATAATGACCTCCATGAGATGCGACTTCCTTTTTTTGTATATACGTGGGCGCACTATTAGAGGATGGAATAAAAGGCGCACAATAAGTTTCCGGAATGAATAAGAAAAATACTATAAATGGTCAGAAATGAATTTATTGTTTCTCAAAATATACTCCGTTAGCGTTAATGCACTTTTTCATACGAATGAACCAATTTTGGAAAGATTTATGCCACTCCTCCGTGACAATCTCTGAAACATATTTTTATTATTTTTCATACTCTTCGACAGTCTCTTCAGTTGATGAAAATCGTTGACCGCGTAACTGATTCTTAATTTTTGAAATGAAATAACAGTCACCAGCTGCCAGGTCGGGATGGATGGCTCATAAGGTCAACGTTATTCACCTTTTTGTTGTTGAGGTTGTTAGTATTTTACAAATAACGCTGTACAAGTACTACACGATTCGTGTAACACGAATGACGGTTAAAAGCTGTAGGTATAGCATTAATAATACCCGAATTGCTATGTTCACAGTGAGCGCGCAGGCGGTTGTGTGTCCAGCAGTTCGGACAACGAGTGGCTGGCTAGACCTGTTCCCTCTGCCGTGTCGCAAGCATGCCGAATGCCGAGTGATGGGCACGCAGCACCTATGTTGCAAGGGTTTCTGCACTAAGGGAGTGAAATCCGCCTCTTCAGCGACCATAAGGTTAGGAAGGGTATTTTATTAATTACAATCAAATATTGAAATTTCACGGGCGAATCAAAGTAAACTGATCAAGATAGCCACCCAAATAATCCATGATATAAAAACTTATTCTACATTATATTTAAGTTTCGAACGTTTTCAGTTAAACAAGTATTATAAGATCATTGGTTATAACTATAACATGATTACAACTACGGACACTGCATAGACTCTATTACACATTCATATTAAGCTAAGTTGGTGGCTCTACCTATATAATAAGTCAACGTTTTATGTAAAAAGTAGTGTATTGAGATTTATATTTATTTAGTCCTTTTGCATTAAGGCATTTTGACACCGCTATTTAAGCCTAAGCTTCCATTTATTATATATTCCCGCTATTTACGCACGCGGTCGCTGGAATCTCTAGCATTCGCGGAAACGCTCGAGCATTCGCGAGCTTCCACACGACTACGTCTTGAGGCTGTAGTATTTCGTCTACGTTTGACGTAACACTACGCCTGCCTTCGCGCATCTTCCCGCGTATTCGGCAGCTGCGGAAATGCCTGCGAATGCGCGAGAATTCGCCGGAAGACGCGCGCCTTTTTCTGGACCGTATCTAGTTTGTACAGGGTCAAGAGCACGTCAAGCTTGATGCTTAACACTTAAATCAAGCTCTATGCCGCTTACGACAAGAACGGTCCAAAGTACAAAGTGTCAAGCTTGATGTATTCTTGACTGTATTGACATAATGTTCCTTTTTGCTATGTGCAATTCCGTTACAAGAATTCGCTTCCATCCCGTTTCGCTGCAATGTACTTAAATTGAGCCTGGCATTACATCTGCCTAAAATTCAGCAACATTTACGGTGCTGTGATTTCTTCTAATAAAAAATATAGAACGATAGTCACGATTCAAAAGTAATTTTTCAGCCTATAAATTACAAACATTGACATTTTTGAGGAAATCGCACCTTTTGCCATAAAGCCATATGAGATCATACTACAAAATTGTTTTTAATACGTGATGTCATAAAACTAAGACGAACTACTTTGACTAATTGACTCTCCTGTTTTTCCCTTTTCCTCTTTTGATACCTTTATTAGAAAATAAATTAAAATAGGTATAATATACTATCCTGTTTTTTAAACATAAAAAAGTTAAGGACTAATTTCGTTCGTATAAGATGTCATGAAAAGAGGTGCTTGGCCTAAAGGTCTACTAAGGTGGGATTTTTAAGAACGTATTTTATGTAGTGATTGACAACAAAGCAATGAATATCAAAAAACATAACGTCAAAAGGAATACATCTATAGGTAATAAAAACTTTAAAAAGTATCAGAAAGTATGTGCTCGCGCACAGTAGTGTGATATATTAGAAGTTGTAAAACATATAGAACGTGTTTAAAACAAAAGTAATTTTAAATTGAAACTCCAACACACCTATTTCATAAACAATACGAGCGTGAAATGTGGTTGGGAAATTTATTAATTATTGGCACTGGCGAATTGTCCATGTAACACTATTCTCGTTAGCTTACTCGCGTTACTTTCCAGCTTCGAACTAGGTATTGAACAGAAATCGTCTTGTATTGCACCATTTGCTGCGTAGGTGCCTTCTGTTTTGGCTTACCATCTTCAATTATCTACCCTTGAGCAATGATACTATGCCCAGGTGAAATTTCATGGGGTAGCGTTCCCTACCTATGACCCCGAACAATTTTCGCTAAGGACCAACATCTAATTAGCGAAAAAATGTTCATACTGTAGACGACCGAAGGGAACGGCTAAGGCGAGTGGACTAAATTCAGTGGTTTTCCACGAAAAATAAAATTATTTAAATTTATTTATTCTAATAGGTACTTGAGCATCCATCTTGATATATTTTTTTTATTGTCCGTCCTGGACACATACTGTCGTAGGTACAAATTTTCCGGTTAGCAGATTATGGAACTCACGGTTCTATTATGGTAATCGTGTAAAATCACCATACGAAACTTTCAATGACCTTTTTTTAAAGTCTGCATCTTACCCAGTCGTCTACAAACTGTTTAACAATATACAAACTATACGCGCACATTTTCAACCAGTAACATTATAGCAAAAGCATTCAGACTGCAGGTACCATTAGTAGGTATCTACTTACTTAGGTACTATTTCTTGGCTGTTATTTCGTGTTTAAGTGGCAACAGTTCTGTTAACTGCGCAAAATTATTATTAAGTCATGAATTCGTAAAACTGCACTTCAATGCAACTTTTCCTATGTAGAATTCGTTTGTTGATCAAAAGACATTATGAGACCAGCTTAGTTACTTAATAACCTGTAACCAGAGCAGTAAGACTACTTTCAAGCTTCACTGCCTCCATATTCTGCTCGTAATCTGCATTAGGTGCTCGATTCAACCAACCGTTTAACGTAAATGCTGGTTAACGTTATTTTAATGCATAAGAGAGTTCGTGAATTGAAATTAGTTTGTTAAATCCGTGAAACGGTCTCTCATAAATATCTATATAGTTTTTATAATAGTATTAGATTTTGATGACTGCTGTTTCACAGAATTTTAAGCTGTGTTCCATTCAATAAAGTTCAATGTTCTACATTTATAGTAACATTACGACAAATGTCTGAAGTTAATTCTATATATTAAATAAATACTTAAATACATCCAAAAGTGTAAATAACCAAAATTTAGCAAGAATTAATAAAACAATACAATAAATAATGATTTGCGGCTAATGATAAAACGCAGTAGGCACTTAGTCACAGTTGAGTGCAATAACTAGGCGATTGGTCTGTACCCTTGAATTTGGTTCGACAATTACCGTAGACCGTACGTTTACACGTTTTGATTGTTGAGGTCAGACTTAACAATTACCTGCATCATTCCATAAAGAATAATAAAATAAATCATACAATAGTAGTTAATTCGAATAGGGTCAGGTGGGATAAGAGGAACACCGTGGGAAGAGAGACTTGAAGCCTTAACTCATAATTTAAAGCGTTTAGCACTATGATTTCTCAGTTGATAAAACAGACAAACAAATTAGTTTAAACGATTTTAAAGAGATGTCGCTAGGATACTCCAAAATCCAAAAGGCAGGAAAAATTTATTTGACAGATGTGATCTCTTGAGAACATTAGGTAGTTTAGATTCGCTCTGGAACTTTTGGAGGGAAAAGTGTCGTTTTTATTTTGACTTTCAATTATTTTGTGAAATCTAGTTTAAAGTGGAATAGGATAGTGCTACTGTGCCTTAATCGAAGATTAAAACGCGAAATTATACGAAACTCCAACTAAAATACCCGTATCGGCCCGTTCTAAGGAATCCCGAGTCAATCCAAGCACGCCGCCTCAAATTGCCTATCCTCTTTGTAGCGGCCATATTTACAAAAAAACTTATTTTTATGTGTTCGGCTGAAGGACTTTGTTTCCATGGCCAGCAATAAATTTCAAAAAAGAATTAGGTAGTTTAATTAAAGTTATATTAGCTTTACAAGAAATACGATGACTTCTCACTACATCTTTTGGAGGAAGAGAACCGTTAGCACAATTTGCACATTTTCGGCAAATATATCGTACTAAGTATTGAATTAAGCGTAATGATTGTTATTAAAACGTGCCAAGCTTATAAGCAAAAGCAAGATTAGTGTAAGTACTTGAAAATTCTTATAAAACTTTATCAGTTCTTAAATAGAGTTCAATTAAAACATATGACTCAAAATAAAGTATGTTCCTTACTCCACGACTAGGTATGTTTAACACAGCATAAGAAGAGAAAGAATCGGGTCTAAAAGTTAATGCATAATGAAATTCGACTGATGGCGAAATGTTTATATAACACGATTCTTATCCGCTTGCCTCAGATATTTGTTAAACTAGCCATAAAATAACTAAAATTATACTAATCAGCAACATTTTTATATTATTTTATTCATCTAGCGTGCAACTATAGTGTAACGTTTACAAGTTCATATCAATTTCAACAATACCAATTTTATCTGGCAATGTTACCATCCCTGCAGCGGTTTTCTAAAGTCACAGAAAATGCTCTATATTAGCACGACTTTTTCACTGCATTGTTGAAACGTCCATATTATCTCGTCTATTCCCGCTTTTACGCGCCCAAAATTAAGGTATTACAAGTCGTGAAGTGCCGAGTTACGCTAATAGAGAAATTAGCAACGCACAGTGTACAAAAGAGCGAAAGGTTTATAATAGAGTTGCAACGAACATTCGGTTACAATACAATTCAGTATTCGGCTTATTCGGCCGAATACCGAATATTGAATCACTGTTTGATCGAATACCGAATACCTAAAAACACGAAGGAGAAATAAGAAAAAGCACGGTGATAATTTTATAATGTGAGTAACTGTTATTAATGCCGAATACACGTTGTAAGTTAGCGAAAGATCTATTTTTCGCTTCTTTATCTAAAAAAATCAATGGACATCTAAATTATTTTTCAACGACATCAAACATATCAAATGAAAAACTATCAGCTTCATTCATGACTAAATAAAACAAAATCAACCAAATACTTATTATTTACAAACTAAAATAAAATATAGTTTTTGAAAGTTAATCAAACTAAAGTGAAATAAACAATTAGTTTCTTAATAAGTCATAAATTTAAACTATGAGCTTGAAAAGTTTATCTTAACTGAAGTTAGTAAATACGTAAATAATATATATACGTAATATTTTCGTGCCAATTTTTGTACAAAATTGTTTTAATAGCTGGTCAAATATTTTAGCCAAATATTCTGCTATTCGGCCACGCGTCTAGTCGAATATTATAACATGCCGAATGTATATTATTCGTTGTAACACTAGTTTACAGTCGTGTCTCGGTTGGTCGCAATCAAAATTGCAAGTGAAGAACGTGTCACCGCGAAAGTTTTTAAATTTAGATTACAATATTTTTTTCATACATTTGTTTGGTGACACGCATTATGTAAATCTTATTTAAATGTAAATTTTATTTCTAGATAAAAAAAAAATATTGAATACATATATTTGTTTCGATATTACAAGTTTATTGTAATGTAAAATGTTGTCTATTTCACGATTTGAGAACCTCCTACAAAATAGGTTTTCAAATCCTTTTGCTATTGGACTACATTCATCAAAATAAAAAAAATTTATCGATTCTCACTGGTATAAGATGCTAAATGTAAAAATCTTTTACTTTAGAATATGACTGTCCACTAAAACGAAGCGTTTAATTCATGTCAGAATTTAAACAAAAAATACGCAATCGTCACTTTGCTTATTTGCGTTTGCTCCGCTATGGCTCCACCGTATTATTTAGCCAATCAAAACAATACAGAGGCCTTCTTTCATGTAACCCCAAACATTGCAGTAACCACAAGACTATAATCATAAATTCGTGGCTTATTAATACAAGAAGCGCCTAACGTCCATATTAATTACGCACTTCTTAACCAAGCCACAGAAATATTATGCTACTAATTTATAGAAATATGCACATAACACGTAAGAAAACGTATTAAACATTTCATAAAATTAGGTGATTGCATTCACAAGTACTTGAATATAAGCGACGGCTTAATGATCATAAGTAACGTTGACGTAACCTCTCTCTAACTTGCGTAAACCACATGATGTCTAATTTAATAAATATAAACCTACAATAGATTTATTAAACCTTTTTCTTAAAGTGAGTGGCCAGAGTTTACAAGGAGAGCGGGTGAAGGTCGTCAAGTTGCATAGCTTTCAATAATTTAATCATAATTAAATACTGCATTGAAAAATCAGGAACGCATTTAACATTTGGTCAAATAATTGACATAGTAGGTATGCAATTTATTTTTTGTCTATTTATTCATAACTTAAAAGTTTGAAAATTATAGGTAAAATAATAAAAATACTGCCGTGTTTACAATATTAACAGTCAGTGTGTTTGAAATACATGTAGATTTACTGTTCTTCTCGTAAGCATGGCAGAATAAAGGTAGGTACTTACCTAATTATTATGGTATGGTGTACCGGCTCTGCGAGTCTATTTTCATTCTCCGTATGACATCCGTCCGTAACAGTTACTGTCAAATAATTATACTCGACCTAATCAAAAGAAAATGTTAGTTATGAAGTTTCATTCGCATCATGCGTCTTTCATTTGGTCAAGTATTACTTATTTAACAGTGATTGTTTCGGACGAATGTCGGGCGGAGGAGAGTAGACCCCCGGATGCCCGCAACTCGACGGCGAGGCGCCTGTTTTGCGTGTTATAGGTACTTAAATTCAAATTCAAATTCAAAATAATCTTTATTTCATAGGTAAGGATTATTACACTTGAAACCGTCACAATATTAAACTCTACCGCTCATTCGTAAGTATCGTAAGGCAGATTCCCCTGAGAAGAATGAACAAGAAACTCTAGCGGTAGCTCTTTGTAAATAACAGTTGTACACATTCAACATTTACAATATTTCTTTTTTTCTTTTGAAACATCAGAGATCGAGACTACCTCCATGAGCCAAACGGGTTACTACCACGGATTTTAGTCATTCAAGTACGCATATTGCATATATTGCCCTTTAAATGAATTTGTGACTTTGTGAAGACGACTATCAAGAACAGGAAGTTTATTTTTAGTCTTCGTCTTAATGTTATGTCTGTCACTATTTTTCATAAAGAAATTAATTACTATTCCTTTTAACGTAAATTACATTTTCATAAATGTACTGTGAGGCTAGTGTAAGAATGTTAATTTCCTTAAACTTAAATTTGATTGAATTGATATTAAATTGAAAATTTGTGTGAAGTTATTAATACAACATAAAAAATAGGAAATACAAATTGAGTCTGTGTCAATTTGGCTGGTTTCGTCTCGAGGACATTGCTTATGTAGAAAGTTATCTACATGCATTCACGGGTTTTTCCACGTGTCTGTTTTCGAAGTATGTAGGTGCCAATTTTTGTTTACTGTATAATATTTACCATCACTCCAAAACCGAATTTTGGTAGGTAGGTACAGACAACGGCACGTCTATATTACTTAAATTCTATTCAACTTAGGTCTGTCTGTTAAGGTACCTACCAATATATCTTAATATACCAAGTTGTAATTTGTGACTACACCTGCACAAACTAAAACTTGGTATAGTAGTATACTTTGCATTTCTTTCTAGAAATTCGAAAAATCTTTGAACATTTGATGAAAATCAATCGCAAATTAATTTAAGATGCACAAGAAAAGAATTGAATCTTCTGTCACAATTTGTTTCAAATGTACCGATTTTAAGAATCTCCAATACATTGCAGTTGTTGCACATTAGATAACAAAAATAGTTATTATGCTTTGCTTTTTATGCACAAACTCGATATACTTATTACGTTCGCGAGTGGTCTGGTTTCTACATTTAAGCGTGACATAATATTAATTTACTTGCAATCAATTTAAATGTTTATTGTATTATTGACTAGCAAACATGAGTTTAACAGCTTGTCTGATGATTTATTTCCCCATAATTTGCATGAGCATGCGTTGTTTTTACTCCTATCCTATCAGGCGAAAGCGAAAAGGTGTTTTGCTGTAATTAAATAATATATATTTTTTAATATAATATGACGGGACGAACAGGTCGGGCGCCTGATAGAAAGCTACACGCCTGTCCATAACAGTTGCAGTTTTGCAGTGCCACTCAGAGCTTTAAGTTGCAAAGACCTAAGGGGCACTGCCACTGCGCCTATCACACACACACACACACACACACACACACACACACACACACACTCTCTCTCTCTCTCTCACACACACACACACACACACACACACACACACACACACACACACAC